TCCGGTCCCTTCAGGAATGGCCTTGAGCTGCCCAGAGACAGCCCTAGAGATACAAAGGGGGGCTGTCGAGATCTGAAGGGACTGTGGAGATACGTGGGGATGGAAAGGGGAGCTCTCTCTTCTCTGAGCTCACCTGAGACATCTCCCACAGCCTGAACCCTTCATCTTCACACTCTGCTGCTGCCTCTCCTTTCCCAGCCTGGCCATGCTTTCCTTCCCAAGCCCAAAGCCCAGACCAAAGGCATCTCCTGCCCTCACCCTACCCAAAACAGCCCCTAAACCTGGAGTGCTGAGAGTCCAGGCAAGGTCATGGGGACACCTCGGCTCTGTCCCATCATGGTCTTGCATCCAAATCACCCTCAGGGGGTACCTACGGGTTTGCATTCCTGCTGAGGCTGCAGCTCCAAAGAGCTTTGCAGATTCCCACACTGCCTGGGTTTTGATGTCCCCATGTCAGCCCCGTGCACCAGGGTTTGGTCACAGGCCCTGGAGACAGACAGACACTGCTCTCAGGGGGTATTTCTCCTGAAACTTCCCCTGGGATAAGGCAAACAAGAGAAGCTCCTTTGTGTTTGGGGGGCCACCTGATGCTTTTATTTACAGCTCCTGGTTCTTCCACACTTTCCCCATTCTGAGCTGGGAGAGGGGTGTTTTAGTTTAGGGCTTCTTGGGGTCTTCTGATGGGGCTCCAAGGACACAGTTCCTCAAGAAGAGCTACAGCTCTGTCTCAGTGGAGGAAAGGAGAATTGTAGCCCCTGAAGTTGCATTCCTGATCCCCCATCCAGAAATGCCCAGTAAATTTAAAGAGGTCCTTATGGAGGGGAGAGAGACCAACAAGGATCCATTGAGAGATGTTTTTTGGGTGGGATATATCAGAAACCGTCTGCATCACCTCCCCCCTTCTCATAAGTTGGCGTACAGTGAAGATTCGGAGCAGTTTTGTCTGGAGGTCTTCAGACAGCAGCCTCACCCTCCTGGTGCCCATCATGGTTACAGACCCCCTGACCAGCCTGGCACAGTGGAAGGAGGACAATGACAACCACAGGAGAGCCATTGGAAAATCCCAGCCTAAGGAAGGTTGGGCTTTGTCCTCCCCCCTCAAAAAAGGGGACATCTTGGAGCCAAAGAAGAGCGTGCCCAGCCTGAAAGCCTTTTGCAGGAGCTGAACTCACCTCAGCTCTGCCTGTTTTATCAGTGTTGACATCTGCAGGGAGAACCTGAGTTAGTGTTCCATGGTGTGCTGTGGGCAGAGCTCCTCACCCAGTTGCTCTCGTTCCTGTGCTGGTACCCACACGTGTACGTCCCTGTGCTCCTCAGGGTGATTTTTAGTTGCACAAAGTAGCTCACTTGCCCCTGCTGGGCTTTCTGGCTGTGCTCCTCCACCCCATCCTTGCAGAAGACAATTCGGGTAGCAGGGGACACCATCAGCATGGAGCTGGGGTTGGCATGTGAGCAGCTGAGTAAAGCACCCATTGTCCAATAAAACGAGGATAAGAGGGATATTATTAAAACATCTTAACTTTTTCACTTTTTGGGTAAACCACACTTAGATTTTTTTTTGGTTGTTCTCCTCTCCCATGGTGCTGCCCATACCAGCTGTGCACTGGGATGGAGGAAAGACTCTGGTCATTGCTAATTGTAGCAGAATGACTTTTCCCTTGAAACACAAGAATTATTCCAGCTGGGATATGATCAGAGCTGTTTGGCACCCTGTGATGTTCAGTCCTTTCCCTTGAGAGAGGGATCTGATCTCACAGTTTGGAGAAGTTACACTAATAAGAAAATAAGCCATGCAAACCACAACTCCTCATTATGATACAAGCTCATCAAGTTGCGGTTAATTGTCACAGCCCTATAACTCCCCCTCTGAGACACTTGCTGTAAAACAAGCAAACTTACTTGTGAGAACAGAGCAGGACAATCACGCATGGCCAGAGCAGCCAGAAAGGTCCACCAGCCCTCTCAAACCTCTCACAAAATGTGACCCTGGTTTGACCTAATGCCTGTACATCCCCCAAAGGGGTACAGCCAGAAGAACCCAAGGGGTCTGTCCATCCTCCCATGTGTCCCCAGATGTCCCATGTTGCACAGCAGGGTGGGAGGGACAGTTCAGAGCTGTGGGACAAGGAAAAATGCAAATAATCTCCCTGGGAGACTGCTCTGCGGTGGCTTCATTGTCAGCATTTGCACTTGTGTCTGCATCGTGCTGGGCAGAACTGGGGTTGGCTCCTGATATGGGGACCTGCACTTGCATTTGTGCTGCAGAGAAACAGCAAGATTATTCTGGGTTATTTTGTTCTCCTCCAGGCACCTCATGGGAAGAACAGGCACCCTCAGACAGAAAACCTCAGGGTATGTGTCTGCATCGTGCTGGGCAGAACTGGGGTTGGCTCCTGATATGGGGACCTGCACTTGCATTTGTGCTGCAGAGAAACAGCAAGATTATTCTGGGTTATTTTGTTCTCCTCCAGGCACCTCATGGGAAGAACAGGCACCCTCAGACAGAAAACCTCAGGGTAAAAAAAGAGAACACCCCCATTTCTGAAGATTAGGGATCTCTAGTAAAACTGGCCCCTTTCAGGAAAACTTTGGAATATGGGAGTCTAAGGGAATCAGGGCAAGAAAGATTTGGCTCACCCTTCATCAGCGTTTTAAATGTCACCCACAGGTCCCAGAGAGTGAGAGTCAGCAAAACATCCCAACACTCAGCACCACAAGAAAAACCATTGTTTCCTATTTTATTGTCAATTTAATGAAGAGCAATATGGAGTAGAAACTTGTGGGAGTGGTTGAAACAAAGGCAGTGTTCACTGCAGAAGCTGTGGGTGCAGACCCTTGGCCCAGGTTGATGGTTCCCGATGGCTCACCTGGGGAAGGGATGGAGCACGTGGCACCGCAAATGTCATGCTCAGGTGGGGTTCTTGGTCTTGGTGGATTTCCCAGTCCAGACTTGTCTGAATTCTCACTGTCAGGGTTTGCATGGAGCAAAGTAGAGCTTTCACTGACCAGCTCTGCTGCTCTCTCCCTTCTGAGGAATCTAATGTTATGCAGGAAATTTAGTGCAGCTCAGGTCAGATGTTCCTGTATTATTTTGGACTGTTTGGGAAGTCCCAGTCTGTGTTGTGGTTGATGGTGAGGGGTTTCCCCTCCTCTCCGGCCTCACCAAGGCCTGGCCTGAGGAAAGGGTACAGCTTGGTTGACCCTTCAAGGCCTTTGATGGGGATTTCCAGGATGCAGTCACAAGTCCCAAGGTTGTAGAAGGAGAGCGTGCTCAGATCTAAGTCCAGGTACAGCCCAACCACTGGTATTTGGACACTGCTCCAGGACAGTATCTTGTCATTGGCCTCCTCAGGCCAGTACTGCCCACTCACCCTTCTCAGCGACCAGACCCCATCCTCAGGGAGCTCCTCCCACCTCCTCTCTTTCAGTGTCCCCCTCACAGGCTCCGTCAGCACCCCCAGCTCCCAGTCCAGACCATCTCCCACCAGCACCTCCCAGTAGTGCTGCCCAGAGGCAAAGCCCTCCCTCCCCACCACGACGGGGAGCTGGCCCTCGGTGATGGGCCGCTGGGCAGGTGGCTTGTGCTGGACTCTTCTGCGGTCAGAGGACACAGCAAGCTCCGAGTGTTTGTGTGCTTCATCCAGGGTGATGGGCACTGGGGAGAGAGAGGAGGAGCCATTAGTGGCTACTGGGCAAGAGGGCCAGGAGCAGAGATTGTCATGAGAAGAGGCACCAGGTGCCTCCTAGAGAAAGCACTGGAAGGAGAGCTCCTGCTGCCAGCTCAGCCTGGAGACTAAGCCTGGCTTCTAGCCCGAGGCTGGTGCCTCTTTCCTCAGAAGCAAAGCAGGACAGCTTCATTCCCAAGCCTGCTGCTCCCAGCTCTGCCCTCTGAGACCTCCACCATGGGTGTAGCGAGAACCAGGGGAGCGTCCAGCCCATGTCCATGTGCTCAGCAGAGAGCAGCGTTTTGGGCAGCTTGTTGCAGAAGGATCAAAGGGGACTTGCTCCCAGTGCCCAGACCTCTCATTTGTTTCCAGCCCTTCTGTCTGATTCCACCTCCACACACTTACCCATGTGGCTTCGAGCTCTTCTGAACTCTGTTAAAAAAAAAGGAAACACAAATCAAAGGCAATACGGTGTGTTCAAAGGCCCAAACACTCTTTCGAGGTCCATGTCCCTCCCACATTGGTGGCTCAGTGATCCCCTGTGCCTAAAAGGTGGTATCTCACAAGCAATGGAGAAAGCCTTGTGTCCTGGCATCAGCTGGGCTGCAGGAGGGAGGACTGCTGTGTGGACATGGCAAAAGTGGACCTTTTTTAGATAGTCAGTGCTGAGCATGGCTTTCCCACATGTATGTGGTGCTCTCACCTCCAGGATGTGCATCACACACCCCCAGCTGACCCATGAGGAAAGCACAAAACTCAGAGCCAAGCTCTCTGACCCTGCAGAACTCACTCTGCTGTGGGACAACCTGGGTCTCAGCTCATGCCCATCTGGAGTCCCTGATCTCTCCTCCCGCAGGAGCTCACCCAGGTTCCCCAGGGGGATGGGGCAGAAGGCCGTGTCTGGGCTCTGCTTTGCGAGGACTGTGGTGTCCAGGGAAGACGCTGCTCCCAACCACAGACAGACTTGTGTGCAAAGAGTCAGAGGAAAGGAAGATGCCTTGACTTACCTAGTTCTTTGCTTAGTGTATCTGAAACAGAAACAGGGAGTGTTATGGGCTGCAGTCTGGTCAGTGAGAGGACACTGCCACTGCTGGATCCAGACAGATACCCGGGGAGAAGAATGATGACCACAGAACTGGTCACCATCCATCCCTAACTCCTGGGTACAGCATCAGAGACATCTCTGCATTACCAAGGGCAGTGCAGTTCTGTCTCTGTTCTACAATGGCAACACCCCTCCCATTGCTCACTGGAAATGGTCTCTTACCGCATCGAGTCTTCAGGTCTTTCTGTTCTGCAACAGAAAGAGGAGAAAAACATCTTTGCTTTCCCTGTAGAGGATTTGAAGCAGGAATTTCAGATGTCCCTGCATCAGGTCTGCATGAGAGCGTGGCAGGGCTTGAAGGGACTGTGGGGTGATGTCCCTCCTGAGGGTGGTGCCCTGGGGGAGCCAGATCAGCCCATGGCCTCTGCATTTGTGTGAGGTGGGTGCTGCTGATGGCTGCAGGTGTGGATTTTGGTCTGCAGACACCTTTTCCTCCATTTCCCTCTTGGGACCCAATTATGGGAATGAAAGGAGGATGCGAAGGAGAGGGCACCTTGGTGGAGAGCAAGAGTGATGAAGAAGAGTCGCTGGGAGTGGGAGGAAAGTTACATGCTGA